CCCCCCCCAACCTCCTCCCATCATTTTAATTGTTCCCAAAGTGAGTCACTTATTATTGTGAGCAGAGCCGTGCAACTGCTGCCGTCCATCTCGCAACCGTCGCCTGTCCAGAGCAGGAAGACTGCGGCTGCGGGGGGGGGGCGGGGGGGCGCAGCACAGCTTTGGAGGGCAGCGGCATCAGGAGGGAAGAGGAAGGACGACGGCGGCCATTGGCAAGGGAGGAAGGGGAAGAAAGCCCCCGCAGCAAAGGCAGGCCTCAAGTGCGCAGCTCTTTTCCTTTCTTTGGGGTTCAACCACATGCTTGCAGCACCGTTTGCCCGGACATTCACTGAGGCAACCCAAAAAGTTGTCCTTGAAAGGCAGGACGTGTCGGCAGCAAAGGTCCAACCGGGTCTGCCCCTCTTCCGTTTTTGCTTGAGCCAGGAGCAGTTCGTCACGCTTCCCCAACTTGGTGCCCTCCCCTGGCTATCTGGGGGGAAGCCAGGGATGTCATGCACATCACGGCGTCACTGCAGAAATGATGTGAAATGGGTGGTTTGACAAACCAGGGGCCAGGAAAGAGCACGATGTCCTCCAGGAGTTCTGAGCCTCGTTTCCCGCGTGGCTGACGGCCCGGGACGGCGGGAATCGTTATTCCGAGCTGCTGGAGGCATTAAGGTGCCGGCCCCTGATAAAGGCCGGATTCACGCAGCACCCAAAACGAAATGAAGCAAACCCAGTTAGGAGCTGAAATGGCACACGGCCCCCTGTCACTGCCTGTCGCCTCCCTGCAAAAAAGTCTGGTTGAGTTTACCCAGGTCACATCAACCATCTTCCGATGAAAACACCGAAACTGTGTTTTAAAGGAACGTTTTAAATAAATAAACTCTAACAGAGACAAATAACTGCCTCAGAGTGCTTTGCCTGGGAAGCCAACCTCAAATGCCCAAGTAAAGGTTGAGGGAGGTTTGCAAAAAAGTTCTCGGAATAGGAGCTGATTGCAAACCAAACATGAGCCAGCAGCGAATGCAGGTCCAGGCGGCGTCAAGAAAAACCCTGTATTGGAGAAAAGCGCTCTTGGCTTGCCCTGCTTTGAAAGAAAAACAGCGGCGCAATTGCTCCCCTTCTGTCAATCCTGACTGTTCACTGAAGCTTCATCTGTTGTTCCTCCTGCATAAATGTGGCTTCATCCCACGTGTCCCGGCTGGAGGAAGCTCTCGTGGCATTGCCTGGTTCCTCCTTCATAAGGACTTGGAGTTTTCCGAGAGCAAATAAAAACGGGGGAGATGTGGAAGAAAAGTTAATGACCCTTTGCAAATATCTGCCGACTTCCATTGTGGTACGTTTTATCTGACTCTCTGTAACCTTCGTGATGCATCATGAATTGCTTGCAGTCTAGCCAATATATTTTGAATGAGCTTGAATTTCTGTAGAATTCATGCCTCGCGAAGCACAGTTACAGGCTCCACGATTATCCGCTCGCTTAGCCCTACTTTTTCTGCAGGGGATCGGCTTGCTAAAATAGCCACGAGAGATCTGGCACCCTTGCGCATCGCATCAAAGGGACAACTCCGCATTTCAAAGGAAGAGGCTGCAGCATCTCTCCTTTCAAGGGATTTCATGGTCTCCTCCTATCAGCCGCAAAGCAATTTCTCACTCCTAGACGGGCGTGCACCCACACTCAAACCCACTTGGACCGACTTTCGCTGGAAGCCCTTCTCTTTGGTCTGTCATGGGCAAGAGGCGGTGCACTCAGCGTAACCTGCTAACTTTTGAAAAAACAAAACCATTGTTGGATCCTCTCCAGTTGTCGGTGCTTCTTGGGTGAAATTTTCCACCACGGATCCAAACGGGGGGAGACAATCGCTCGGTTTTGGGCTCCTTGGGCGGCACCTCATCTCAAGGACCCCCTTTGGAGAAGGACTCAGAGAAAGGCTTGGAGAAGAACATCCCGGATGTTCGAGGACAAGAAACTAAGGCTAGGAGGAGAAATGGAAGGAACCAAGCTGGGCACGTTTAGCCTTGAGAAAGGTGATGGAGCAGGAGATGGCAGGATGTGATAAACAGCCGAAGGCGTCATGCCGAAGCAGGTGATGCCGCGTCTTCCCTGGCCCCAGAGGGCAGGACGTGGGCTAAAGGAGTGACGTTACCGGGAGATCGGTTGGGATGGAGAATTAGGAGGAACGTCCTGTGCCAGGAGCAGCTGGAGAGTGAAGACTGGGGACATGGCGGGCTTCCCCTTCCGTGAAAGCAAAGGCTGGGGAGCCATGGACCGGAGGCTTTCGCCCGGATTCCTGCCCTGAGCAGAGGGTTCAGCGTCCGTAAGGAAAGACGGGCAACGCGGCCTCTCATCCCCCCGCCCAGAGACCCTCTTCCAGCCGAAGCCCAAAGAGGGAACGTTGTCAATAGGCCGCGAGAGAGAAGCAAAGCCGCCGAGCGCTGCCCGAGGCCAGCAGGGGGCACAGCGCAAAGGCTGGGCCCAGCAGAACCCTTCGGGCCCTTCCGAGACCCCCAAGCCCCTCCAGACAATGGGACCCCGAAGCCGTCTTGCTCGTCCGGACCTCTCCTCCGAGGCTCAGCAAAGCCCCTGGATCCGGTCAGTCACACGCTGACCGTGTGAGTGGCTGGGCTGGGCTGAGCCACGGCTTGTTTTTAGCGTGGTTTGACGGGATTGTTCCCCACGTTTGGCCCTGTACCCGGTGAGGAAGCCACAAAGCCCCGAGTGCGAATTAAGCAGGCCGGCTCGCTGCAATCCACAGAGCCTGACTGAGGAAGAGCCAAGGAAGGCTGAATGCTGACTTCGCCTCTTGTAGCTGCTGACTTCTGCACTGCCTACAGGCCAGGAGAATTCCCTACCTCACGGGGTTGTTGTGAATAGCTATGAAGTGCCAAGGGCTTTGAGCATGGAAGCAAAAAGCCGGAGGGGAGCCTTAATGCTGGTCTTCCCCGTGGCTCCCTCCCTTGGCCACAGAGGGGACAGCAGGGGTCACCCACCCCCAAGCCCACCTACCTTGCCTAAGGGCAGGACCATAAAGGCCCCGCCTCCTCCCGACTCCACAATGATGGCCAGGAACTTGGGGTTGACAGCACAAAAGGAGCTGTCCCAGGTCACCTTGGAGACTCGAATGTCTTCATACATCTGGTCGGCTTTGACCGGCTGTCCGAAGACATGCCGGAACTTGCTTTGGCGAACCACCCGGCGACTCATGGCGTGGGACCTGGGGGGGGGGGCGGAAACAGAGACAGCGAGGTCAGCTGGGGAACTGCAGAAGCCCCTGGCCCATAGCAGCCTCCAGGGAGTTCAATTCCAACTTTTGGGATGCTTCACAAGAGGTCAGGTGAGGAAAATCTGCTCTTGATTCACCTTCTCTTCCCTCCCCGGCTGACACTGGAAGAGTTTCCAGTCTTCAAGGATGCTGTTTTCTTCCTCCACCATCCCTGTTTTCCTCTAAAGCTGGTCTCTTTTGGTCCTGCCTCTGTTGGCCCCCAGCAAGTGAGTTCCAGATTATTAACCTCGGCATGTTCTTTGAACTGGGAATCCTGCCATCAAAGCCGCCAATGGATATGCAAACGCGGCCATGATTTGGGAGGAGCCAACTGCCGACTCTGGGCACATGTATGGCCCTTGGGGCTGAGGCCTTGCCACTGAAGAAGCCCAGCAGGAGGAGTAAAAAAAAACAAAGCAAAACGCGGTTTATCCAGCATCCTGCCCCATCATGGCCAAACAGGGAAATCCTGGCTTGGAAGGGGTGTGGGCAAACTTTAGCAACCAATCAATCAAAATGGCTTAGCAGACGCCCCGTTGGCAACTCCATCAAAGGACAGGTGCCCAGCGCATCCTCCCACTTGTTTTCGCCAGCCAGGCACTGGCACTGGCACCGAGGGGGCATGGATAGGAGCTGGCATCGCCCTCTCCCTGAAATCATCAACGTCTTGTGGCAGTGAGTTCCGCAGGTTAACTCTGCCCTGCCGGAAAAAAATTCCTCGTGGCCGTCCTGGGCTGGCTACACTGGGGCCTTCGCACTGGCCCTTCCGGGTTCCTCCTCACAGGCTCTTGCTGCATTATCCCTGATTCTTGCTAAGCTAGAAAACCCACCCCCCTCCAGCGCAGATATTAAAAGCTCTTTTCAAAGGGGATTTCCTCGTATGAATCTTCTGCCTCTGACAGGCGGTGGAGTCCTGGTGCACAGCCTGGGGCAACTTTGCCAGCCCCACTGCAAGGACGGCGCTCTTTAGCGGGTGGCAGATGGAAAGCTGAGCCAGGACAATCCAGAAATCTGGGAACGTAGGAGTAGAAGGTGACCTTGGAGGTCATCTAGTCTGACCTTCTCGGTACTTGGAACCACGGTTTACCGTGCCCTGTGATGCCACGGCACAACCCCCCACTTTTTAAGGAGGAAAGGAATGCCCATGGCCGCCTCAAATGCTCTCACCCATAAATCAGAGCCCTCGCCTTCCCCAATCCCAGCAGGGCACAATTGCGCCTAAAGACTCTACCTGGCTGATTCTACCCAACGTTGCTCAGTAGGTTTGCCTGAGAAACCCAGTGAGACCAGCACTGGGTGCCAAATCTGAGAAGCTCAAAGCAAGACCCAAAGTCAGTTCAACAGAACTGGGGGGCATCGGGTTGGGGGAAGCTGCTTTAAAAGGGACGATGCCCACCTTCTCTGGCAACCCACGGTAGACTGCGCTGGGAGATTCCACCCAGCGGCCAAGCGAGGGCCAGTTGATGGGTCCTCCCCCCACTTCCTTTCCCGTCTGCTCCAACCTTTCCAAGGAAGTCCTTTGAAAACCAAACCGTGATTGCGCAAAGTTCTCCAAGGCTGGTCGGT